GGTTGCATGTAAATCCGAAGATTGGCACTGGTGGTTCGTGCGTGTTAGCTTTAAGCATCGACTATGTTGTGATGGCCAATGCGGGAGGTAGAACAATGGGACTGGAGGGAGACGACACTTGGATGGAGAACTTGACTGCGTAATGCTTTGATAAATTGTCTAACTTTGCATTTGATTGCGCGGACACATAGTTCTCTACAAGTTGTATTCTCGCTCGACGGCTTCGCCCTTTGATCCTTCCAGTATCCTCATCTCTTCCAATATTCTCAAGACTCTACCCTAATGCTGTGGGTCTTTTTAGGTAACTTCATAGTGTAGTGCTCGACGGGCCATGCCGGGGAGCGGAATGTTGACGTTTGATTTAAATTGCCATTTTCTTTAGTGGCATGTGTGCTACTTTATTACGTCAGCTAGAATTTTCGCTATTTGTTTCTATTACTGATGTTGCCATTTTTTCTTCTTCACTGCTTCGATTAATTCGGTAATAAAAAGATACTTTCACCACATTAATACTGCTACTAGGACAGAAATATTGATTCAAGAAGCTGCAAACGAACATCATTCGGTGGACTTAGCATCCCCTCTTACATTTTAAACGACATCTGACTGATAAATATTTGTTCTAATCAGTCGTTTGTTAACGCATTATCTGCTAGGGTGCCATGATTCAAAGATGGCCATTGGATAATAAATCTGACACTCAAACACCAAGTTCCTTGGCGCTAAACTTGGACTTCACGGGCTTTGTAGCCTCACAACTTTCTCATTTATCCTGTAGGCATGGGTTTTCGGTCATAACCATGCCCCCCAGCCCTTCTGCACGACAATAATAAAGTCTCACTCCGTGTTGGCACGCCTTCCTGCGGCGAAGACCCGGAGCATTACAGACCACTGCCAGTTTTGACTCCGGCTCGTCGTAACCAGATTCGTTTCTTTTGAGAAACGAGAGCGGTTGCATTCTCCTAAACGCATCTTTTAGAAATCCACAACTTAAAATCAGCTAGGTGGATATGCAAACTGGTTGAATCGAGGAAGGGTTTGCAAACTATCAAGTCAACCTTGTGCGATGGAAACAAACCACCCACTGGACTTCCGTGATCCAAAAGCATTATTGCATTTTCGTGCTCCTCCTTTGGCGACATAACCCTGCTCTTACTGCATGATAGTAATCTCTCAGAAAATATCATCGGATAATGGGCAACCTGATCCACAAAATTTAAATTTATTCAAAATACAAATAAATAACGATAATAAGGGGTTGATGAGGATCTCTGACGCATCATTTCCAGGTCAGCCTTAAGGATTACTCGCAGGTGCCTGTATAAATTCGTTGAGATGATTCCAGACAATGGCTTTGGCGTTGCGGAGACTGCTCATGAGACAAGGTCTGCCAATTACGTTGCCCCAAATCAGGCAGAATACTATCGCTCCGGCCAGCATAAGCAATGCCGAGGCAAAGAACTTGTAAGCCGGGTGGCACACTGGCACCCCGGTCCCGAGGGTGAGGAAAGCAACAATGAGCAAAGCGGCAATCACGAGGTGGGTCGTCCTCCTCTTGTTTTCCATCTTCATCTGTGTCTTAATTATGCCGTCCGCCTCCATAAGGATGGTTTCCAGTGCCTCATGAGAGTTTATAGGTGGGACTTCTAGAGGAGAGGAATACCAATTGGTGCTGTGGCACACTTCCCTGAGTAGGTGTAATCTAGCTGGAGGGCCTGACCAAAGGTGAGCTCTGCCTAAGAATTAGTAGCATATTATCCGTTGCACTACGTGGATGTAAATGGACTGGGATTCAACCAGCACTTGGACGGTTGACTGCACAACGTGGCTGTGCGTTTAGATGATGGAGTAGTTGAAGGAGACTTTTAAAAAGGGTGGGTTTACTCATCAGAACTGCAATAGTCTGTTACTTGATGATAGGGTACTCAAGATAAGCACCCATGTAAGTAACGAACAATTTGCTGTTGCAGCGTAAATGGTTCTGTTTGCTTCATATAAACCCAAAGGTGTGTTGTGAGAGCGAAGTTATGTGCTCTTCAATAGATTAAATTCAACATTAAGATTTAAATGTGCCAGAAAAGTCAACTTTGTGATTCGGATTACCTTCAGCAATCGACTCCTCATGCATTGTAAGTAGGAATTCAGCAGTGACGACGGCGTGATCTGAGTAGAACACGCCCGGTTTGTGCGGCACTTCTGTCATGTCCACTTGGCATCGCTCACACTCCACCGTGACGGCTGCAACAGAAGACGTTCACGTCAGCCACAAATTTACATTGCAAAGTTTATTTACAATGATAGAAAACACTGGTTTAATAACACAATGGGGAAGCATTTCGACTGCAATATTTCACCATCCCTTCCGATTATCACCTTCACGCTCCGACGAAATGCCCCTAACTGCCCATAAATACGAAGAATACACAGTAGTATTTCAGAAAATCCCACGAAGATATGAGGAACGACAGCGTAATCATGGGCATGGTCGTGAGCACTAAAGCTGTTCCACACGCAAATTCACAATATCTATCGAAACTTGGGTCAAAACAAGCATGAGGGTGGTCTGGAAGTCTAATATCACCTTTCGACATTAAGTTTGATAAATAAAGGCCTTGCATACTCATTTATATTAGGCGAGAAAGTATATGGAAGTGCAATCACCTGCCAAAGCCGATCATGTGCCATTGAAAGTAGGGGTGGATATAGCCATGCTGCTCCGCGTTTGTCGAAGTGTCAGAAAGTACTAACTTGTAGCGTTGTCGCGGAAAACGGCAAAGTATGTCAAAGTACTTCTGCGAGTGAAGCAGGTGAATGTGTTGAAGAGTAGCATGGGCTTAATGAAATTCCGTAACATCTTCACGCGAATTCATTTTGCACCATCCCAAATCCGGTAAAGAAAAAGATTTTGAGCGCCTGAATGAGTAAACTACTTTGGACTTGAGGTTCTACCACGAGATCCCGCATTCAGAGCCGAGTATAGTGTTAGATACTAAATACTAGTACACCTTACTTGCTGCTGTCAGTTAAATCTATTATTCAAATTGGACTACTTTAAAGTGTATCCCAATTCAACTTTGGATAAAATTGCAATTTTAATAAAGATGCTAATGAGGAAAAATGAAAAACTGACTTGACAAGCCATCATTGATAACGCCGGGGCGATAGAAGATGTAGTCCAATCGAAGTCCATTCCCGGTGGAAGCGGTCCACTTCTTATGGGCGTAGGGACAGTCGCCGCGTTCGCATGTCGCACCCTCCAATTCCATCTCCTCAACACTCACGACCGGTCTTCTGGCCGTCTACTGGGAGTAGTGTTTTATAAAAAATCTCTACGACTAACTACTATTATCATTTGCTTGACGATATCACTTGCCAAGTTTCGTATTATATTAACCAATGTCTGCTCCTGTTCACCCAGCATTCTTAATTAGTTCATTTCTATTCACCTAATTGGCGTTTCTTGGCTAACCTTGGATAAGGGCTCTTGTGATGCTTCAGTTTCCGCAGTTTTTATTTGATTTAGCTCCTACATCTATAGGTAAGCATCTGAACGGGAAGACTTAAGATCTTGAACGTTGAACGTAGTAAAATAATCTTACACTATGTGGGAGTGAGCTTTTACCAAGCGTTGAACGGGAACTTACAATCGTTTGCGAGACTCGTTTAATGTTAGATCTTTTAATAATTGCGAAAATATTACCTTACGTGGTTACTTCTTTACACTTCAATACATTGCTTGAATAAGTGGGTGGTTAAAAAGTGGATTTGCAGTTAAAAAAGCATTACAACTCTCGAGGCAATTCGGCTAACGTCACAAACGCACAATGACGATATTTAAATAAGTTTAGTGGGTGTAGCTCAACGACGACAAGACAAGCGAAATGACGGCATTGGAGTCATACGCTGAACGCATTTGAGAGCAAAAATTGTTCCAGTAATAGTTTTTAAGCATATCGGAAAGCCAAACCGACAGACTTAACGCGTAGTTGAAATAACTGTCGATTAAAATTAAGCAAAAAACACAACTGGAAAAGAGTAGCGCAAACAAATGCCTTAGGGTGCAACGAAGCTAGGTGTACCTGATCCAGCCAGGCATCCTTAAGATGGAGGGAGCGTTTGAGGAGCCGAAGGGCGGTGGTATAGGGCTCCAAGTTGAGATCTCCGCCGATAAAAATTGCGTCAGATGAAGCCGCAGAAGCCCTGATAAACTCCATCATTTCAATGGCCTGCACCAGTCGATGACCTTCCACGGGGTCATCGTCATGGTTCAGATAGTGGCGGGCGTGAGTCTGAAGAAACATGCGTACGCAGGTGAGTTTAAGCCTACCCTTTGCAAATTCTGTGCAGCCGCAAAATACACACCAGCGGGGTCACGGGATCAATACTGATGAGAGTCGGAGATATTTGGAAACCTCAAAGCCTCTGTCACAAATGGTGCATTAGTGCTGATACTTTCCATAAATCATTGACGCATGAAGTTACTCACCTGAATTGTCTTTGCCTTATGCCTTCAGTGCTTTATCAGACTTTAACAGATAAACACTTTCAGGCTTGTCCCCCCCTTCGATAATAATAACAAATAGGATTTCACTCAGGAAAATCACCTAGAATAGTCAATTCCAAAGGAGAAGCACTGTTTCAGAAAGAAGCTTTTGCGAGTGAGAAGCACTTTTTAACATTTGGACTAAGTATAATTTCAACGTTATTGTAAAAAGAACATCAGTACGAGGCTATGGGAAATCAAAAGCTGGTGATGCTGAATAAATTAGCTTAAAGAATTCTGAATACATTGTTTAGTTGTAAATCTATCCCACCTTAGGTAGATGAGATCGCGACTACTTCACAATACAAATTACAAGTAACAAGCCATGGCGTCCTCATACTAAGGTATTAAGCAAAATCAACTCGCTGAATCTTATGAAGCATTTCATTAAAAATCAACAAACAAATTGATTGTTTTGTAGACTATTTTAAAGCATCCTTCGTTGCTCTCACTAGTCGGTTTAGTTAAAAACATCCTTTCATCGTTATTAGTAAAAACCCACAACACTAGAGTAACTTAAACACGTTTCCAAAAACTTAGAAAGTTTTGGAGAGATTACCACTTCGATGTAGACTTGATTAAAGTTAATTACAAAAAATACAAGTGGCTAATGCAGTCCCGTCGAGGCAGCGGATTTGCATAAAAGGATTATGTGCCAATACTAGTAATATTCCGAGCTTTTGATTGACCTTTCCTAAACACGTGTTTACAATGCTGTTAAATACTATTAGCTACTATAGACAGAAGAATAAGTGAATGAACAGGCCCAGGAAGCAGTCTTCGATGGGAAAACTATACCCGACGATTATTTGAACTGTAAAGCACCGTAAGCAAAGAACAAAACTTAAACTTCTCAGAAACCATGCTTCATTGACCGCGTAAATAATGGGAATGGGTTTATTTTCACGTTAAATCACTCCTGTATCTTCGAGTGGGAAAAGTGCTTATAACTCGATCGCAATTTTTAGGCAACAGCTGAGGTTTCCGTATTATAGTGGGAGCCTAACATTGAAATCGATTGTCGAAAATGAACAAATTTTAGAAAGAAACAAAATTCCCTTATTCCTAACACAATTTAAGTCGCCTTATCGAGATAGTGGATTTATGCACAAGGTTGGTGCATTAAAAATATCTTTTTATGTTAGTAAATATTACACATTTACCTGGTCAGTAAGATAAACCCCTGCGAATCTCACTAAAGGGGTAGAGCAAGTTGCACGTGCCTTCTTATACTTACATGTGCATTGTAGAGATTCAGGCGAAATCCACTGGGCGTGATTGTGGAGGCATAACCCATCGCTTTCCCAGCAACCCAATCGGCCTGATGTATATAGTGAGGGTAGCCATTGATAGAGAAGGGCAATGCCATGAAGGACACAAGCGGCCATCGACAGAAGATGCATAACCCGGAACCAAAGAGATGACTGGGAAATTTGAGGTTCAGAAATAAATGAATAATAGATAAGGCTCGATAAATTTGAGGAAATGTAGCCTTACGCGTGAAATTTGACGCAATGTGGATAGATAGAACCCAGACTGGCCCTGATTTTCTCAAAGTCAGATTGCAACCACACTTCCTGGAGGAAGATAATATCGCAGTCTGACTTTCGAAGAAGCTCACAGATGGCGTCAACACGTACATCCTTCTGAACTGTCATCCCCTTTATGAAGATGCCCCTAACGAAATGCTTTTGTAAGAAACACTTGGTGGAGTTTGACTAACCAGCAATTTAGCGTAAGGATCTTAATGCGTTCAGTAAGACCAGGTGTTGCATGATTGTCTGGAAAGGAAAACACAACTTTCAGTTATCACGAGAGAAAATCAGGCAGGCGTTTTGCAATACATAATGTTAATATACATGTACATGGTATCGAGCTATTCGATTTAAATGAGTTATAAACTTAACTAGTAATATGCAGGTACAGTTAAATGTGTCTGGATTGAAAAGATTTTCTCATTTTAATATGCTCTGAAGTTGATTTGTCGATTCCTATCCAAGTAAAAATATGCAAAAAATATTAGTAGTTTATCAATTTTTGATGTTAAAAAAAACGTGATAAAATAAAAAAGCGCTGCATGAATAAACGATGTAGGTTTGAGGGACAGCTTTGTATTTTAACAAAATCAGTTAATTAGAACCAAAAGGGTTTTAAACTGCAGTTAGGCATCTACAACCAAGGAGATCACAGGAAAAAACCAAAAAATTAACAAAATGCGAATTTTCATTTCTTGCACTCTGGCTGTCCAGGAATATCAAATAAAATTACCATAACCTATGGGAAAGGTTTTTCCTTGCATGATATTCATGATGGAATCGCTTCAAAAGTCCATCATATGCAAAATAGGCTTTGCTAGTAATACATTGGGGGTTGCCACAAAATAAGCAAGTAAAGCATGCAATGCTGGGACTATACATAGGATTAATAAATGAATGACAGCACGGTCATATAAACCTCAAAGAACACAAGTCACAACAAATATGATAGGCAGAAGCGCAAGTACTATGCACAACTTATCACAGTTAGGCAGGATTTTACACTGAAGCCTCCCTGTATTCATGCACATGGCCTTCAATCCAACCATACCTGTTTCCATAACGTCCTTGAGGTAAAAATCAGCGGGTCAATTGCAGATTTGAACAAACACTATGAAAGTTAAATATGAAACTTTTCGCAGCAAATTGGCATATTGACTAGTCTTTACAGTTTACAAGGAAAATAACTGGTCTTATGGTGCGAGCAGTCTAAGTGTCGGTATGCATTAAAAGTTATTAGTAAACATCACATTAACATAGATTAACAAACGTGAGTGCTTTGAAGTTTGTAATTTTTTATCAAGTGATATAAAACAAGACCAAGAAAGTTTTGAGCTGCGATTCTTCTGTGTCTAGGCCAATAACAGCCCTTGATTACGGCAATGATATCTAAATTTTGGAAATAAACACTCCGGTGTTGCGTTGATAAACGGTACAAATCAGGTAAAATTAATTCTGGTCAGCCATCCTCTCATTTAGCAACTACTATATCATGAAACCTATGCAGCGACTAATTGTAACTTTGTAGCAACCTGAATCCTCACTGAAGTCGCAGGAAGTCGCAGTGGTATAGCAGAAAGTATTGTAGAGTCCGAGACTTCCCTGAGACGAAAAAAGGCACAATTTTGGGACAGGAAATATGTACATTCGACATACAGTAGGGGCCGGTGTTACTGTCATGGTCCAGAGGCCAGCCCACCTAGCGAAGTTACAATAGCCCTTTACCAAAACAAGGAGTTTATCAAACGACCAACTTATTGCAGTATATTACTGACATATAGAACGGCTGACAGGGTAATGGTATGGTCCAGAGGCCATAAAGCTGTGTAATTCAACGTAGTGTTAAACAATCTATCAAAGCATTACAGCACTTCCGTTGTCTTTCCACACTCAGGCCCCTGTATCGAGAAGCATGGTTAAGGAGATTATTTCCTCCTGGGGATTTAATAGCGCTTTCTAATTCATGAGTTTGTCCCAATCTGCCAGCCTGCTATTTAAACGTGGTATCTAAACGACTGTGATAAACAACGAAAAAGTACGGATCTGTTGTACTATAAGTAAATGGGGCTGTGTGGGGGAGCTTTTGTCAAAGAAAAATTACGAATAAACGCGTTACTAAACTAAGAAGGGGATTCATTTAAACTTCCATTTATAATAGAAAGGAAGCTTAAGAAATCCCGCAATCTAAAATACAACTTCATTGTACTGGGAAGATTGATAACAATAGGTTAACCGTATGCCATCCCTACTCTTAATGAATTGCACCATTATTGGTGAAGATTTACTATATACGTTTAGAGGGACCGGAGGGCTAATACAATGGCCGCTCTTAAAGCACTGCGACATGGCAGATCCAGAATCATGTTTATGAGTACTTTTAGTGACAATTATTTCGCTGCAGCAGCAAATCTATCGGTAGCAACATAACTATTCTGATCTCTGGCACTAATATAGCGTCTTGAGTCTTTTCTGAAGTCGTAAGAAGTCACTGTAATGGGGTAGAAAGGGTAGTGCTGAGGTACAGAAGAGCTGAGGCTACTTGCGTGGCTCAGAGACCGTAATGGCGAACGGAAGTATGATCTGCGGCAACTAAAGTTCCCACTTAATCAACGCAATGCACTACGTGATCACTTGATGAACGAATTGTTGTGGTGGAGATATGGTGAGTCCAATTAGCCAATTTGCATAAATTTCCTTAATCAATGCCGTGAATTTCAACTCCTTGTGTAATTTAAGATTTTTTGGGAACATTCTTTAATTTCCCAGTTTCATACCACAGGAGTCGCCGCTCATTTACAGTATGTTAATTCGAAAAGCCAAAATGACATTTCAACTTATTATTTAATTGTCATTTAATTATCCTCTCATGCAAATATATACATCAATGGATGGAGAAGCAGTGTAGCGCCCCGAGACTCCCCTGAGGACGAAAGGGGGCACAATAGCCGGCCGGGATATGTACTTTCGACGTACGGAAGGTCCCGGAGTCTACTGGCATGGCCCGAAAGCCAGACACGAAAGGCAAGGCACAAAGTGGCCCTTTATTAAAACCGAGAGTTAAACAAATAGCTAATGTATTACAAAATCGTGGTGTTTTTCATATTAAAATGTGGTTAACGAGCTTAAACGACTAAACCGACGCTTGCTTTAGCAGCTGAATTAATTATTAACGTAATGCGAATAACACGGCTATCTAATTCACTAGATAACAGACAGAAAAAGGAAACGGAACTAAGAAAATTTTCCAAAATAACTGGACTAGTTGTAAAACGGCAGTCATGTCTACCAGATAACTTTACCTTCAGATTAAAATAACTTAAAAGCTAAACGTCAAAACTACCATCAACACCAATATATGCATACAGGTGCCTAGGATGACAATCACCAAGATAAAGAAGAGACACAAACGAACTATGCATAGAAAAAAAACCTGACGACACGAAACATATGCACTATAATTACTGCTTTTCAATATCTGCCCTATTCTAATGGGAGTACTTAAGCTATCAGCCTCTAACTGAGCCACAAACTCCACCAGGGCATCAGAAAAATGAAATTGCCAAAACCCATCAACGACAACAGAATAGAATAAAGCTCTACAAAAAAGGATGAAAATGTGTACTAAATTCCCAAAAACAGTAGGTGCAAATGAAGTAGTTGTACAATCGCTGTG